TTGGGTACACACCTTGTCACAGTTCTGTTGACTTCCATTTCTCCAAATACGACCCCTCCCCTCCAGCAGGCCAGATACGACCTTCTCGTTGAGGATTCTCAAACTGATGCTTTACCCCGCTCTGAACGCTCTGGCTGTGGTCTGAGAAAGCGATAATGAGCGACTTAGCACCAAGCTGAGCAGAAGTAAGCGAGCGCTCGGAAGCCTTCCAAGAAGATGAGTGAGTAACGTAGAAGGCGAAGAACAACAGGCTCCGTGCCCACCTTTTTGATTTCGCGGTCTCGCTGCTTTGCTGATACATATGAGTCCTCCGTCTCAAGAGGCCTAGAACGATGTTTAGCTCACTGCAACTGGCCGGACTGACCTGTTGACCTTCCCAGGTTAGTGATGACAACATCTTCCCTGCTAGACTATCCTTCGGTTGCTCTCATCGTAGGCCCTCTGAACTGAAGCTTAAGTTGGGAGAGGGGGTCTAGCTCGAGCTGTGTTAACGCCATCAGCGAAAGTCACATCAGCCTAAGTGTTCACAGTCAGTAGGATTTGTAGTGAAGGGGTTGCACTGAAGAGTTTCACAATTCTCGAGCCATACAAGTATGCGTGTGTGACATTCTTCTTCTTCATTCCGTTCGAGAAATTACGTTGAATCGTACCACTAACTACTAATCATTTGCCATAGTATACTGCATTTTAGCGTGGAGTTATGTCGACAAAGAAGGCACGCGAATTCGTAGGTGAGCCGATGGGTGATAAATGGGCCCATGACATACCTGGAATTGGACCAGAGTATGGTGCTAGACTTGCTGAACAAGGACTTCCTAAAGTAATCACTTGTTTATTGGTGCAGTTCTTGTTCTCAGTTTACTCAGTTACCGTTCCAGGCTGCTAATGTGTTCGGACAATTCCTGGTTCATAATGGAGATCGAGATAGAGTTGTGGGATGGTTGAAGGTAGGTTTGGAGCTTCATAACCTTTCAAAAAAAAATAAAGACGATCTGATGTCGACAAAGCCGTTCATAAGCACCTAGTGTTTATTCATCATTGGTTACTTTGTATAAGTCTACTCCCTTAGATCGATAAGCAAATGAAATTGAGCGACCCACAAATGAATCACAGTGCAGTCGGGAGATGAGATTAAAGACCGCAATGGCGCGCTTTCGACTGGACCAGTGTTTGCTGTTCCCCTCTTTTTACTACTGCATTGTAGGATATTGTCGCTCACTAATCCTTTCTTTTCACAGAATTAAACGTTCTGAAAAACGGGCGGCATCACTTCCGACCTGCTGAAAAAAAACAATAGTGCCATATACGTCGTGCTCTACAGTGTAGGATGCTCAGCGCGCATCTAAGATGCGCGAGGAATACATCCCATAATCCAGTGAGTTGTCTTACTGACTTGTCTTTTTTTTTGTGGGAAGGGGTCGCAAGCGAGGTTCGCATCTGAAGGGGCGGAGGATATCGTATTTACCAGAAGTTTGTCGAAGCGTTCCCCCTCTAGAGAATTTGCGCTCGCAGAGAGTGCGGGAATCTGACAAAGTGCGATGCGCTGGTAAGCGGAGGTGATTGACGTGCATGAGTCGTTGTGAAGGAGGGGTGGGGGGGGGTTGCAAATGGTATTTCATTGCTCTCATCAGGATCTAGTTGATTGAGCGTGATAATGCAGCAGCGGGTCAAGTCAACCAGCCAGGCAATACTATGTCAGTTTGCTCTTGGATACGCTCCTTGGATTCCTGAACTACAGCCGATCGACACTTGTACTTATTTGCTCCCCATTTTCCAGAACCACGCTCTTTTCTAAAACACATATACTGCTCTATCGGCTTGATATTCCTTTTCTCAGAGAGATGTGCGCTTGAACTAAAACAACTGAAATACTCATTAGGATGGTTCATACTTTGTGGCAGGTCTCGCAGCGACCAGCAATAGCGTGCACCTGCGTTCCGACGTCCGGCAGCGTCAACGACTAGGAAAGTATAGATATCACTGGCGTCTGCCAGCGTCCACCAGCGCTTGCCAGTGTATCAAGGGCTGAGGAAGTATAGGTATCGATTTGCAGCTTGCCAACGCCTACCAGCGTCCATCACCGACCAGCAGATGGTAGAGAGTATGAGGCGGAAACAGGACACCAGCAGTCTGCTATACTCCTATTCCCCCACCTCCCTGTTCCACCAGCTGTCTCCTACCCTCCTATAGCCTCATAGTTCACCAGATGCCTGGTTCCCTCCTATGGCGCCATACTCTTTACTAGCAGTGTGCTACATTTTTATCTCCCCATACTCCACCAGCTGACTGCTACCCTCCTACTACCCCTATCGCTCCACTCCCGGACTTTGCTGGTCGGAGAAGGACGCAGGCAGAGCTGGGTCGACACCTACACTCTCCTAGCCTTCGAGACACTGCTGATTGCTGGTGGACGATGGCAGACGCTAGATCGATATTGGTCGACGCTACCGGATGTTCGGAACGCTGGTGGACGCTGCTGCGAAGTATGAATACCGCTTTACGCATCACGTTTCTCGTATGAATCATCTTCAACGTAAACTGTACTCTCGTAAGTAAAGTGGCTTTAGCTCCTGGTCTATGAGCAATTAGTATGCGCTATTTCATGTAAAAAATTGCTGGATTCCAACTGCTGTAGTTATGAACTTGCAATATAAAC